AGGTCGGCACGAAGGCACGAGACCTACGAAAGCTAGTCTTCACGCAGACAGCGACAGACTAGTCCCAATGACCAAGTTATACATTAGCACTCGAAAGGAAGTACAACGCTATGGTCACTCACCTAGTCCCAATGACCAAGAGGTCGAGATGGGGACTAGGGAGCGCCTAAGGGGGTCCTTATATACTAGAGGGGCTGCTTAGCAACCAAGGACAAGGCGCGAGAGCGAGGCAGTGAAGATGACAAAGAGAGAACAAAGGGCGAGAAAGAAAAGGCAGGGGCATGGCGATCACGGGAACGTAGCATGCGGCTGTGGGAACGTATCTACAGTGTCCAAATTGGGATGGGCTAGAAAAGGAAATGGTCCGCGAATGGAAGGTGGGCGTCAAAGGGAGGGGAATGGGCGGCAAAAAGGGGCGTCTGTCCAACGTCCGTGACATAATACCTATAGCAATGTAACTACAGTGTATTAATCAGTATGAGTAAGTAGAATCAGTAACAAGCATATGCTCACCTCAGCACGCGTTATACGCGGGACTGAGGTGAGCCAACGTGAATCGAAAGAGTTAAGTACACATTTGTAACAAGACGTCCGTACTACAAGATGAGTGAGACGTGGCATTCGTAAACAAAATGGGGTGAATCCACCAAGGCGGGACAAGGCGCGTCAACGGCGCGACAAGACTTGTCCGCCCGAAACACGGCCGAGGCTCGCACCACGCTTGCCTCGCCGTACGCACTCCAGCACCGGATGCGGTCACAATGCTGGAGGATATAGGTGAGGTCACCGTATACCGCGTCCCAATAGACTCTTTCTGCAGGCGATTCAGAATCAGTGGGGTAGTTCCATTTGTAAGCACTCCAGGTTCAGAATCAGTGGGGCCCTCCCGCCCAGTACTCCGCAACGTCTCGCGTGTGCCACAATGGTCGTCCCTTGATGTTTAGACTGGGCAGGCTCTTCTCAGCACCGCCAAGCATGGTTCAAATTTCTTTCATAGAGTAAACTGGTATGGGAGTTTGATTATCTGAATTTTTGCCTACCATAGTGTGCGACAAAGGTTTTCTTAAACGCCTATTGGGGCGGTAAGGGTCATGTCCCACAGCCCCACCAGCCCCACTGGTTCAGAGTTTGCCAAGATTTGGTCTGGTTCTGAATCGCTTGCAGAAAGAGTCTAATTCAGCATTGACACAGGACAATCGACCCAACGCATGGGTCGAACCAGCTGGCACAGGTCATCACCATATCGGAAGAACTGAGTGTTTCGGCCAGGTCGGATACTTGGCTTGTTCGGCGGAAGACGACTTCGCAGTAGAGGATAGTCGTTCCCGTCTAGAAGGTTGCCCTGCGTATTAAAGGAAGGGACTTTCTGGTGCGGATTGAGACGAGCCAGGGATTATTGCGGCCTTGGGTAATCGACGGGTCATGCTTATATGCGGGCTCCACAGTCTCTTCAAAGATCGACCTGAGGATTTCAGGCGGACAAGTGTCCAGTGATATCCGTCTTCGGTGCTTGCCGCGTGCTGTAGAGAGCTATTGATGGATTTATGTGGTCTCAGATGGTGTTCATCTATGATTCGGACAGACAGAAACTTCATGCAGACCTGTGTCAAGGGCTCCCCATGAGAACCACGTCGCTGAGATGCTGATCCCTGCGGCTGATATAGTTAGTGAAATTCAGACGAATAACGGCAGGAAGTGGTTGCGTACGGGGATCATGAGTCGAATTTGGGACTCCAGGGTGGAGGGATCCCGTTGCGCGTTCAGCGAAAGAGCAGAGCTCTCGACTGCTGGCAGGCCAGGGAGTCCGGCCCGCAAGACGTGCCGGCCTGGGAGTCCGCGAGGCAGAACTGAGGCGAGGCGTTCTAAGCGCTCATCGCAGCGAGCTTAAGCGATCGCGCGAGCCGAGCCTAGCCACGCCCGGCCAAAGAGCAGGACTCTCCAATACAGTACTGAATCACACGTAACTGAGTGCTGAGGGAACTTTCAACACATAAGTACGAAGAAGCTTGAGGTGCAAATTGTTTAGAGTATCAAGCAACTGACGCGCTTCTTTCCCAAGACATATTTCCCGGTAAGTCCGATTGAGAGCTTACCAAGTGCCCAGCTAAGAGCTTCTGATATGGCGAGGGTATAAATACGAGGTACGGTACGGCACGGTACGAGGAAGTAGGCTGTGCAAGCGCACCCAGCAGGCTATCATTGACAGTTCAGACCACGCAGCGCGATGACTATCTGGTTCAGTACGTTCATCATTCCATCTGAATACCAGAACCATACTGACACGCTGCACAGTCACTGGCGCGTCCACCGGCCTTGGTCGCGCACTCACCGAGATCGTCCTTGAGAAGGGCGACACTGCCATTGCGACGGTCCGCCGCCCAGAGCTCCTGTCCGACCTCTCAGCAAAGTATCCTGCCGGACGTCTCCTGATCCTCAAGTTGGATGTCAGCAAACCGCAAGAGATTATCGATGCCTTTGCTGCCGCTAAGGAGAAGTTCGGCCGCATCGACGTTGTCGTGAACAATGCTGCACAAGGCACGTTTGGAGAAGTCGAGACCGTAGCAGATGCAGATGTGCGCGCGATGTTTGAGACGAACTTCTGGGGCGCAGCAAACGTCTCTCGCGAGGCTGTAAAATTCTTCCGCGAGGTCAACCCTGCTGGAGAAGGCGGACGGCTTCTCCAGATCTCGTCGATCACAGGACTGCGGGGTCAAGGAGCAATGGCCTACTACTCAGCGAGCAAGTTCGGTATGTTCAGCGACATCATTGGCCTGTTCCTTGTCTAGTGGTGCTGACGTTCGAAATCCCCCAATGATAGCGCTGGAGGGATTCAGCGAAGGCCTCGCCAGTGAGATTGATCCAGCCTGGAACATCAAGGTAAACATTGTATACACACGCGTCCGCGATGGATGGAACTCACGTTGTCATTGTTAGATTACGATTGTCGAACCAGGAGGATTTGACACGCCAGGCCTAGGAAAGGTCACATGGGCACCCGCCCATGTCGCATATAGCAATAAGGAGCTTCCTGGAAACGTTCTCAGGGGTATCTGGGAGCAGTTTCACCCTAAGGGTGATGCGAGGAAAGGAATGGAGGTTGTCTACAAGCTCGCGGCTCTGGAAAAGCCCCCTCTTCACTTCCCACTGGGAAAGGACGCTGTTGGTATAGTGAGGTCGAAGACTCAATCATTGTTAGAAGACACGGAGAAGTACGAACCGTGGAACGAGGGGCTGGAGAGGAGTGGGTAGTTCTAGATCAACATATCCTACCTGTACCGTTGTATTAATCGGTTGATCAACCAACAAGCGTACTTATGGTAAGTATCAGAGCATCTTGTCTCTAACACAGCCGCGGTCTGGAGGATCGCACTGGCAGTTATCGGAATTCCCAAATTACGAGTTGATCCGACTCGGTAGTTCCCGCCTGTACACGCGCCGGGGGCTTCGAGAAATATTGCGTTGATGTGTGTCCCGGACCATGTACGACGCCTGCCTGCTCACCCCTGTCTTGCGACTTGACCATACACTGTTCTTATGATTTCGGATACACCCTCACACTTGGCTGAAGCGCAGCACTGCCCCAGCCGTCTTCGAGATATCGACCCTTGGACAAAAACTCAGTATTATGAGAAGACGTGTGGACTTGGCGGGACACGGTTTGGAGATCATTCGGCGCGTCCTTTCTACATGGCTCTACGTAGTGATGCGACGCATCAGTCCCCACAAATGTGTGTCGTGCATGGCGGTCCTTGCAGTCATCAGGGCCACTTGCGTGAAACTGATCGGGGATCCTCCACCTCCGTGGTCAGGTCTGATATCGCGGCCGCCACAAAGGACTAACAGTGTGCATATCAAGGGCGGCACGGGGTTGCCAGCCCGCGCTTTTCTCAGTTAGCAAGGTATCCCGGACCTCTACATGCAACCACAGATCGCGTGTGTCGATGTGAGCTCTCGGTGCGCATGCTCAGCTGACTTTGCGCTTCTCTTATGCCTCGCCCGCACTTGTCCCAGTGGACCCGTACTCTCAATCTGTTTGACTTTCGAGTCTCGATGCTCAGCTTGGCAGATGGTCAAGTCACTCCGATCAGCATCAGCCGATGCTCGAACGACTTAATCTCTGTAACATCGGTCAGGTACGTGATCGTCTGTCTATCGAGGCACGCACGAGTTCGCTGATTGGCAATACCGACCACCTTTCCTTTGCCGTCTATGCATGGGCAGCAGAGTCAGTCCGGGCACTTCGCCGTCTCCGCATTCGTAACGTTCTCATGTTAGCTGCGCTTAGAGTACACGAACTGACCTCAGGCGTGACCCGCCTACGGCTGACAATGGGGCGTTGAGCCTGCAGCACTCAAGCCAAGACAACTCACCTCCATGCTGTACCAGTAGGGGTAGATCTCATTTCGTCTATGGCTATCAGCACGGTGTACGGGCATCCAGTGATCATTGATGCACCGGCAATCTTGACGACCCCTTCGAACGCTGACAGCATTGGAGACACGGCTCTACGCTTTATAAGCGGGTGGCTATGTCCACCGTTGGCAGGTATATAAGCTCTTCGAACTTCAATCCGGTGACTACGACAGCTGGAACTCCTTCATCCTTTCTACTTCTGCGCCGGGCGTATTTCAAGCATCCGAGTCCTCTGATTTGTCGCACATTCCTTATTCCTTGATAATTCTATTCCCGCTACGCTGCCATCCAACGTATCACGTCATATTCACGATGAAGACCACCACGATTATCTTCTCCCTGTTTGCTGCTATTGCCGGTGTGCATGCAGCACCCGCTCCTCTCGAAAAGCGTGGCGTCAATCCTGCGCTCGTTCCCAACTTCGGTATTCAGCGTGGTGCTCGCCCTGATGGTCATGGGTACGCCCCTTTACACATTTACTTGAATGTTGAACTCATGTCGCATATCAGCAACTGCGTCGGTGACCACAACATTCTGATTCCATGCGCATGCCCACCTACGCGATCCGATTTCATTAACGTGAGTAACTCGCCCCTAACCTAGGCTGAGCGACAAACACTGACCATCGTACATCCAGGCTCTGAACGCGAATGTGAACGCGGGCCACATGATCCACAACCCGTCCATCGCTGCGCCCTTCCCCAGCGGCAACTCCAAATCCTCCCAACAGGCGCGTATTGCGACCCTTCTCTCGACGCTGCAGAACCTGCATGGGCCCGGTGTTGGATGCCCGGCCGTCTCGACTGTGTACGGCGACCTCCAGCAGAAGATCAACGCGCTCCCGAACTAGGGTGCGACCTCCTACGCAACGTTCTGAGGCTCCATGTGCTTGCTACGTCCGGCAGAGATGCTGATAAGCATAGGAAAGATCAACAGAGGGCGCTGAAACCCGTGTCTCGTCTGTATATGTTGTTCAGATTTCAAATTGACGAGTGCCAGCCGCCCTGTTCCAGCTGTCCATGACGAAAATGAGTTGGAACTGAATAGTCATCTGGTGATGAGACCACACAGTAATCCCAGACGCGCCTGAGGTAATGTCTTATAGGTTCTGAGTATGCAGAGCAAAGACATTGGATGAGTCCAGCTACTTCCGGAGTTGCGTTGATCCAACCATGTCGCTGTAAAGCAGCCCTTCTGCAGGAAGTTGCCGCCTCCGAAGACCATCAAAGCTTAGTCAGCAGAGCCTTTTCACGAACCCTCGATGATTGCGCCGGGTTGATAACTAGGTTCAGCCAGTGCTGTCCGCGTCAAAGTCAATGCGTCAATGCGTGTCAATGCTATCGATCGACCCCCTACTGACGCGTCAATGACCCGTCAGTGACCCGTCAATCAAACACGTGACCATGAGCCATGCGGTCTAAGGGGCGGTGAGACGCCGGTCAATCCAGACCAAGTCCGACCTACTGTGCACGGTCCTGAACATTATTCCTGCGTCGGGTTGCCCGTGTGGCTCCCCAGGAGATTGTAGTATGATATAGCACCTGTTTAAGTCTGAGTTTGCAAGGTCATCAGTCCAGGTCTCTTCAGCTGAAAGCTTGCTGAGGCCGATCCGACCTGGGGCATCAACCTCCCAGTCATCATTGTGGTCTCTCTTGGTACTCAAGTAGAGAAGGTGCAGATAATGTTGTAAGCTCTACTACATGAAAGTATTTGGAGAAACAGATGACCACAATTGCAGCATACACGGGCTGTATCTCCTAGAGAAAACATT